GGAAACGCGGCATGATTTCGGCCTCTGTGCTCGAGGTCCGAGGCTATTAGCCCCGCCCCGGCTCACACTGGCCAGTGGAAAAGTGGCTAATGGATGAAGATGGCAGAAGACTGTACATGCGCGAGATGGACGTATGCGCATCTTGTCATGGCATTAGAGTTTACATATAGTCCTGTTGTGTCTAATATGAATAGACCCAATGCTATTCACAGATATCGCCAGATAATCACTTTACCTCTACCATACTTTTAACAGACTTGGATCGTTTGTGATTCTGGCTGTCATCCTTTCGTGCATTTTCTTGAGCCTTCACTTTGCCAATTATAAGCTATATTGTTAGTAGCCCGCAGTCATTATGATACGCCATATCGCCCTCTACTGAATGTAAAATGCGATGCAGTACATTTTGTCATTTTAGAAAGTTAAGTATGGTAACAATTTAGAATAGGGAACACTTATTCACTATTAACTATGAATTTTCCCTTAATAAATTCCTAATTTGCTGCTTATTAATAGTTAGTAAGGTAGTTGTTAAGTTTAGGTACTGAGTCGGATTAAGGTCATGTAGAATAAGGCATTAATATGTGCTTAATTACTACTAATAAATGGCTAATATTCTAGTAATATGCATGTTAATAAGCAACTAGTTACGAGACCCTAAAATAAAGTGTTACCTTAAGTTCTACTTCTGTAGTTATTTTGGCAAAAGTAACTCAAAAGTAATACAAGAGTCATGTAACGCATTACAATTCTGAGACAGTAATATTGTAAGGTAAGGAATTACTTTTAAATAACAGTAACAAGTAATCTATAATGTATTACAGTTTGGAAGTAACTTGCACAACACTGGTTATAAACGACCAAAACTCAAGATCTGACAAGTTTGTGTGGAACAGCATTTACTATGCAAATCATAAAGCGCAATTTCAGTATTTTGATCAATCGTGCAGCCCTATGTATTCATACGATTCAGCTTAAGATCTCCAGAGACCTTCAGAGTAGTGCGAGAGGGTCAGCAGACTGACGCAGGAGGCTCCTGCTCCGGAGCCGAAGATGGTCACTCGCTCCGGATCACCGTTAAAAGCCTGAATGTTCTCCTTCACCCAGCGCAGAGCCTGGATCTGATCCAGCAGACCGTAATTCCCTTTGGCTGCTTGATCGCCAGTGCTGAGGAAACCTGAAACACAGAGACAGCTGAGAGATCAGGAAACGCTGCAGTGGACACATTTGAATATTCACAGGATTTTAGGCTGTTGGACACATGCACACATCTATAAGAGATTTATCTGGGATGATGCACATTTCGCTACTGATTTAGAATCACTGAATTAACTAAAACTAAAACAAACAAACAAACAGACAATAAATGTGTGTGTGTGTGAGAATGTATGTGTGTGTGTGTGTGTGTGTGTGTGTTTGTTAACTGAAATAAAAGAAAACATGTTAAAAAAACTTTAACTTCAAGTACTTAGATAACTAAAACAAAAAAATAAAATTCATTCAAAATGAAGAAACCCACACACACACACACACACACACACACACACATATATTAGACATATATTAAAAAGACAAAACAATAAATATTTGTTAACTGAAAAAAAAAATTCCCTTTATAGTTTAATTTAATAAAGTAGTAAACAAATGAAAATAAAAATGAATAAAAACGTTAGCAATTATATAATATATACAGTAAATTCTATAATTCATAAATAGATAATATATCTAATAGATATAATTCAAAAAATAGATATGCCTAAAAACATAAAATTACTAAAACTTTAAAGTAAAATGAAAACATGAAAACATAAAAAACTAAATCAAGATATTTATAAAAACTAAAATAGCATATCAATGATACTATTGATTATTATTATTCAATTATACTATTGATTGACTACAATATGTATTTGATATACAATATGAAACAAACTAAAAAACATAAAAAAATGTTAACTGAAATAAAATAAAATAAAATACTAAAAAAAGGATTTCAGTCATCAAGGCAACATTTCTGATTGAAGCACTTAACTAACTAAAACCAAAACAGAAATAAAAATAGTTAAAAACTATATAGACATTTAAAAAAAGATAATAAAAACGAAATTAATTACTTACTTTAACTACAATTAAAATGAATACAGAAAATACAAAAACCTCAATAACAACAATATTATTATTATTATTATTGATAATAATAATAATAATAATTTAATACTTATTATGTGTCCTAACTGTCAAAAATCCTTTTAAAACCTTTATTTCATGTCATAGATGTCGTCATACTATATATATATATATATATATATATATATATATATTGCATATTACATTTAGATGTAGAAAGAAATATTATTTCCAAAAATCCCAAGCTGCTGCACTAGCTTCTGCAATGAAAAATAATGCAGGTATTTCTCCAAACAAAACACGCTGCAAAACTGTTATAATGAACATTAGCTCTTTAATTGTCTGTTCGTCTCACTGGTCTTCAGCGGTTACGCCACGTCTGAAATCCCCCGCACTCGTTCTGAATGCAAGTATCAGGAGAAGCTCAAGATATGAAACGACAAACTCAATTCCCCTTCGATCTGCGCTCGAGGATCAACACTATATGCGTTTAGACTTCCTTCAGCTCCAGTATGTTCACCTGGAAAAAAACTAAAGTGCAGTGGATGCACAAGAGCTTGATTGTCTGTATGTTCTTTATTGATGGGCTTCATCCATCATGAGGATGCTGCATTATTAATTCCAGTGCACAAATAAAAAGCGCTTTGGCTGACCTTCACCTGTGATGCATATATCTCCTGACTCCAGGCCAGCGCTTGAGAAAGGTTAATTGAAGTCCTCGTCGGTGATGTAGGACTTTCGACTGGGCAATTTATTCCTGAGCAATAAACACAGCGGAGCCCTTCAATGAGCCATGCAGCCCTAAAGCCTCGGATGCTCTACACCTCGGAAAGTGGCTGCTTATCTATGACGGCGGAGCAGCTAAACGAGCTCTTTAACATCTGATGTCTACTGAGATGGATTCTGATGTCTTCTGTTTATTTTCTGGCAAAATGCCATGAGCGAAGCCGCATTCATCACGCAATAAACGCGCCTTGTGTTGCTTGTTTTCTCAACACTGAATCTGTCAGAGACGTGTTAAAGGCGGCTCAATTCAGTTCAGTTAATGTTTCATTGTTTGGCGTTTGTCACGATGCAAATCTTTGCAAAGCAGCGTCACAGAAAATGAAAGTTTCTACATTAGATTTAGGAGTTTATCAGGGGTGATTATGTCAAGGTGATGTCCTTATGGCAGAAATGTACAGTTAGTTAATGACGTGTGTTCAAACAAGCACTATAAACAGCAATGCTTATATATTGCGATCAAACTTATAGGAAAATTTGGTAGGTCAGATGAGAAGAATTATTTACACTATGAAAATATTAAATATTGTGCATATTCACCATAAAAATAAAAATAGCATTTTTGTTACTTAAAATAAAATAAAAGCTAACTGAATTTGAATTAAACTCGTTTTATTTCAGCATTTTCTCATTTTCATTTAGTTTAACTGGAAATACTAAAACAACTCAAAATAAATTAATTAAAAGCATTTATTTTTAACAAAATTAAAATATGTAATAAAATAAAATCTAATTCAAAATATTAAAAGATATTAACACCATTTTCTACAAAGTGACAAGAGAAGTTCAAATGAGAAGATACATTATTTACACTATAAAAATATAAAATATTGTGCATATTCACTTGTGCAACTGTGCAAGAGACCAGGGTTTTATATATATATATATAGTTATTAATATAAAAATAATACAAATTACAAAACACAAAAATTACTATTATTGTTAACCAAAACTACAACTGTTACCACACACAAACATTGTTGTTACTTACAATAAATATTAACTGAAATAAGATCAATTAAAAAACTAAATTAATAAAATGAAATGATTTTATTTCAGCTAGGCAACATTTCTCACTTCTTACTCCACACATCTATCAAATGTGTTTTCTAGTGTATTTCTTTAACTTCTCAGGTAATATCAATGGTATGAACTATTACAACAACAGTGGTTAAATATACATATTTATTTACTTGTTTGATCAAAATTATTGCTAGGGACAGTTTAGTAATCGCTGGATATTGGTAGGAGCATGTCATAGCGTCTCTACTAAACTCTAATCCCTTGTACTTTAGTATCAGTGACATACTATTATGCTATTCTACTATACTATACTACTATATTTTTTGTTAATATTATGAACTAGATTTAATTATTATATTATATTTTGTTTTTACTTTCATTTTAGTTAGAGTTTTATTAATTTAGCTGTTTTGTCATTTTTTTAAATGTCCGTCTGTCTGTCTGTCTGTCTGTCTGTCTGTCTATCCGTCTGTCTGTCTGTCTGTCTATCTGTCTATCCGTCTGTCTGTCTGTCTGTCTATCCGTCTGTCTATCTGTCTGTCTGTCTATCTGTCTGTCCGTCTATCCGTCTGTCTGTCTGTCTGTCTGTCTATCTGTCTATCTATCCGTCTGTCTGTCTGTCTGTCCGTCTGTCTATCTATCTGTCTGTCTGTCTGTCTGTCTGTCTCTCTCTCTCTCTGTCTGTCTGTCTGTCTGTCTGTCTGTCTATCTATCTGTCTGTCTGTCTGTCTGTCTGTCTCTCTCTCTCTCTGTCTGTCTGTCTGTCTGTCTGTCTGTCTATCTATCTGTCTGTCTGTCTGTCTGTCTGTCTCTCTCTCTCTCTGTCTGTCTGTCTGTCTGTCTGTCTGTCTATCTATCTGTCTGTCTGTCTGTCTGTCTGTCTCTCTCTCTCTCTGTCTGTCTGTCTGTCTGTCTGTCTGTCTATCCGTCTGTCCGTCTGTCTATCCGTCTATCCGTCTGTCTGTCTGTCTGTCTGTCCGTCTATCCGTCTATCTATCCGTCTGTCTGTCCGTCTGTCTATCTATCTGTCTGTCCGTCTGTCCATCTGTCTGTCCATCTGTCTATCCGTCTGTCCGTCTGTCTATCCGTCTATCCGTCTGTCCGTCTATCCGTCTGTCTGTCTGTCTATCTGTCTGTCTATCCGTCTGTCTGTCTGTCTGTCCGTCTGTCCGTCTATCTATCTGTCTATCTATCTGTCTATCTGTCTAAAACATTAAAAAGCATTTTCTGTTACTTGAAACAAAAACAAAAACTTATAAGTAATAATAAATGTAAAAATAATAAAACAATATTTATTACATATATTGATTTATTTATTAAAAATAATTTATTTAAAAAAAATTAATGTATACATTTTTAGTATTTAGTTATTTTAGTTAAGTACTTTAAACAAAAGTTATGTTAAACTAAACTAAAATTAGAAATGTTGCCTCTGCAACTAGCTGAAATAAAATAAATGCACTTTTTTATATTTCATTTCAGTTAACATTTATTTCATTTCTCATGGTTTTAGACTATAAAATGATAGCCGAACAACAGCTAGCACTACCACACTGCACACATCTTGCTGTTTTAATGTGGTTATTATTTCTGAAGTTTAAAAATGCATTAAGTTTATAACTTGGGGTCGAAAACCCACGACTGGATTAATTTTGCACAATATGCATGTGATAAAAAAGGTGAACAAAAACTGAAAATGCATTTAAAAAAAACATTTTTAGACAATCTTCAGTGCTTCAAAAGAATATGTCAAGCATTTATACATATTGAGACGCAGAGTAAATTACAAACAATGGACAGACACACTAAACTGTGGATATAATTAACCAATTAACCAGTGAGCATGTTCATAAACTCCTCCTCCAGTGATAAGAACAAACAAACACCTACAGAACCTGGACTACAGTAAATACAGTTAAGAGTTTATCTGTTAGCGGGTCTAAACTGAGTGACTGGTTGCTTGAAATAAATGAAACTATGAAGTTTATTAATCCAGAAATGGATTTGTCTGGTGGTTTGTTAATATACTGCAAACCACAACACTTTATTTTTCAAAGTAACAAAGCAGTAAACATTTTTAAAATAAATTGTATTCATCAAGGCCGCATTAAATTGATGAAAAGTGATTTATAATGTAACAAAAGATTTCTATTTCAAATAAATGCTGCTCTTTTGAACGTTCTATTAATCTGTGAAACCTGAAAAATAAAACGTATCACAGTTTCCACACAAATATTGTGCAGC